TCTCCTCTCCTCGCCCCTCCTGCTCACTCAATGCTGCTCAAGGTTTGAGATCTCATTCGACTTTGGCAAGCGATGCCACTTGTTTACCGTGCTCCTCCTCCTCCTCCTCCTCGTCCTCCTCCTCCTCCTCTTCCTCGACGGCGTCCTCCTCCTCCTGGCTCGCGGGGCGCCCCTGAGCGGCGACGACGGCGAAGTCGCGCGAACGCTCGGTGCGCGCCCCCACTGCTTCCCTCCTTCTCTCCCTCTCCCCCCCCCTCCTGCGCGCTCCCCCCATCCTTCTCCTGCCTCTCCCCTCCGCCCCCCCTCCCCGTCCCCCACCTCCTCCGCGTTCCCTCCCTCCCTTCTCCTTCCCCTCCGCCCCCCCTCCCCCTCCCACCTCTTCTCTTCCTTCCCCTCCGCCCCCCTTCCCCGTGCCTGCCCGGTGCACTTGGTCGCTGGTGTGTCAGCGCGTGGTCGTGGGGGAGCACGCTCACATGGAACTCACAACTTCACGCGCTGTGCCTCTTGCTGTGATGACCATGGGGCCCTTGGTGGACAAACCTTTCTGTGACCGGGCGCTGGTCCTCTTCTCGATCCTCCCGCGCCCAGGACGAGGACGAGGACGATGAGGAGGACGAAGACGAGGAGGGCGAGGACGAGGACAAGGAGGAGGACGAGGGGGAAGAGGAGGAGGAGGATGACGAGGGGGAGGAGGAGGAGGAGGAGGAGGAGGAGGAGGAGGAGGAGGAGGAGGAGGAGGAGGAGGACAACGACGACGACGACGACGACGACGACGACGACGACGACGACGACGACGACGACGACGACGACGACGATGACGACGACGACGACGACGACGACGACGACGACGGCGCGGGGCGCGACGGCGACGCGGGCCGCGGCGACGACGGCGACGCCGTGCGGCGCTGTGGCGGGGAGGGTGGCGCGCGACGGCCGAAGACGGGCGCCGCCCCGCCCCCCCAGGGCCGAAGGCCTGCTCGAGGCGCTGTCGTCCAATCTCCTGGCGGGCTCCGCCTCTCCCTCCTCCGCCCCCCCTCCCCACTCTCCTCCGCCTCCTCCGCCCCCTTTCCTTCCCTTCTCCTCCGCCTCCCCCTCCTCTCCTCCTCCCTCCCCTTCCCTCCGCCTCCTTCGTCCCCTCTCCTCCTCATCCTCCGCCTGCTCCGCCTTCTTCTCCCTCCTCCTCCCTCATCCCTCCTGCTCCGTCCGCCTCCTCCTCCTCCTCCTTCTCGGTCTTCTCCCTTGTATTCCTCCTCCTCCTCCTGCTCCTCCTCCTCCTCGCCACATCATCCCTTTCCTTCCTCCTCCTCCTCCTCCTCCTCCTCCTCCTCCTCCTCTTCCTCTTCCCTTTTTCCCTCCTCCTCCTCCTCGTCCTCCTCCTCCTCCCCCCTCCTCCCTCTGCTTCCTCTTGCTGGCTGCCCGACATCTGAAACCCTTGTTTGTCATCCGTATCCTTTCTTCTTTCCGCCTCCCAACTGGTCCTCATCCTCCGCCTGCTGCCAAATCGTTCCGTTCTTCCTTCTGCTGCTACTTCTGCTCCTCCCCCCTATTCCACTCCTCCTCCGACTCCTCATCCGCCTCCTCCTTCGCATCACCTTCGGGATAATTCTCCATCTGCCCCCCACCTTCTTTCTCATCATTGGAGTTGCCCTCCTCCCCTTCTTCCTCCTCCACCTCCGCGCGCCAGAGACATTCGCGCCGGCACACAACAACTTCTGAGCTTCACCAGCAACGCCATTAACAAGCAACATTCCAACACGAAGAAGCACAGTGACAAGCAACACACTCCGACGTAGACAACGTGTGTACAAGCGAGCACCCAGAAACAACTAGACGCCGTGCATTCCGTGCCCCTGTTGGCCACGCATCATTCCGCAGCCACTGCCGAGCAGCAGCAGGTTCAGTCGTGCATGCCAAGCTTCGCACGCCGCTTGGGAACATACACTGGTGAAAGCTGTGCACGCAGAGAGTTTGCGAAGTGGACCCTCACCTCGCGAGGCTCTGCCCAGAACCTCCCGTTCACGCTCTCCTTGAGACACTCTGCACAGCTCGCAGAGTGAGGGCCTGCCCACAGTCTCCGTGCTGAGCCGGCCACTGCTGCGGGCATGCCACATCTGCTGTGGGCGGTCCCGTGCCTGCAGGCCAGCTCCCCCTGGCGAGGTCGGCATCCAGCAGAGCCCGCCTGCGCACGACGGGCTGCCCGAGCCTCTGCGTGCCCGCCTCTGGACCTGCATCTCAACATCGCAGATGCGGTGCTCGCCGCGGCGACACAGGGTACAGTCACCCCGTATCGCAAAGGTGCACGATCAGGATGCAAGGGCCCTGGGCGCCCATCTCGAAGCTTTTCGAGCGGGCCGCGGCCAGCGAAAGCGACGACGGATGGACCGCGGAGACAGGGATGGGATGCAAGGGTACCCTTGGGAAGGTTGCCCATCCTTACTGTGCGGGTTGACTGTATCGCAGATGCGGTGCAAGCCGCGGCGACGCAGGATACGCGGCTGAC